CGAGACACGAGTCAAAGTCGAGGTACTCAGGATCAATGCGGATCTTTAATTGCGTATAATTGCCTTGCGCATTCCTCCGAGGATACAAGGATAGAGGATTGAAACAGCTGGAAATTTCCTCGCGTTTGCTTGTTTCGAAAATTAAATACATGAACTATGCAATTAATTGGGTAAGCGTTAAGCGTTAAACTTCTTGAACAGGAACTGGAAACGCAAAAGAAAGAGATGGCTAATCGAATAGTGGAACTGGAGAAGGAGCTCTCGTCTCGCGCTGTCAACAACCAGAGGGAGAAGGTCGCGGAGAACGTCGAGTACATTAGGTGCTGGCGGCAAATGAAGCAGATGAACGATAAACTAATAGCCGTCGAGAACACAAACGAGACGTTGAATGCGCAAATCAACGATTTGAGGAGGATGCTTCAGGAGGCGACAAAGTATGCTCAACGTCTCTTACGATCTCCTTGTGCACAAACTGTATGCGCGCTCGTCGCACTAGAAACCATTTTTTCTCTCGTCCATTCTCACTTTAATAACGTCCCTTTTTCTATGCTTTTCTCCGCGCTTCGCACAATACGTTTCACGATAAAAATGATGCAAAATGTTTAAAAAAATTATAATCGACCCTAATACAATTATAGAACTAAATGAAAATTCCTCTTCTATCTCATCCTTCTCTTCGTCCGATAAATCGCAGTTGTTAAGTATTTATTGCAATTGTTAAGAATATAATAAATAAAGCAATTTATACGTGAAATCCTTATAACAATGCAATTAGGAAGAACGAAGAGACCACGTCGGCGCTGTTGAAAGAAAGGAAACGTTCGTCGGAATTGGACGAGGAGGTGCTGAAGGCAAAGAGCTTCGAACTTGCCTTACGGGAGAAGGACGAGCGGATAAGGGATCTGATGAACGAGATAAAGATAGTGCAGCAACACAACAACGAATTGGTCGTTCTGAGTTCCAAGAAGGGCGAGATTGAGCTGGAAAACGTCGAGCTGAAGAAAAAGGTTAGCGAGCAGCGTAAAGACCAAGAAACTTTGCGGACAGCTTATAATAGCGAGCAAGCTAACATCGTGACCCTACAAGCCTCAAACGAGCAGCTGTTCGGGAAACTTCAAGAGCTTCAAAAGAATATAGACAGTTTAACGGTACAGTTAACGGTCAGTTCATAGTTTCTTTAAAATTAACGCGTATCAAATGAAGTCTATATTAAAATGTACTGTAAACATACGTATTATAAATGCAGTTTGAACGGAGAATGAGAATAAAATGTGTTACAGTCCTTCCAAAGCAAAACCGAGAAACAGGAAACGCAGATACCAGCGAAGCCGGCAGATAACAAGATTCCGCCGATGACTAATGCAGAGCCGTGCGAACCCATTGTCAACCGAGCTGTAATATGCAAGAAATGTTGCGAAGAGCCTAAACCTGTAGTACAATTGAAAGAAAAGGTTTACGTGGGTGTACAGCACCCGGTTCATCCGTTGGTAGACAAATACGTGCAGACGGAGTTCGTAGTCCAAGTGGTTGCCACGGAGACGAACGATCAAGGTACATCAATGATGACTCCCGTTAAAGAGAAACCGAGGGACGAAGAACGGACGATTCCCGTTACGAAATCCGAAAGAACGATAGTAGCGGAGAATTCATTGACGCCAGAGACGATGTTGAAACTATTGGAGCAAGCTCAAATTACTGCGCCCGTAGATTCATCAAAATTCGCTCATAAGAATGTAGCCAGCAACGTGGACTATAACGTCCTGGATCTGAACCAGAGGCACAGGCAAGTTGTCTCCCTTGAAAAGCTGCTCTTCGGCGACTCTAACTGTTGACAAAGACTGCCAGTAGTTAGCTACAATACACTTTGACTTCAATGTTCCTTTCCTTGAGGATGTAGTTGAAAAAGCGTCGACCGCGAGAAGTATTAGAATCTTGGTGCTTCCAGATTCGTATGTAGGATAAAATAAAATATTTCAATAGGATATGGTTTGAAGTAACTACAAAATAAAACGCTGTTTTACCTAATTTTAATTTTGTAAGCCTCGATGAAGTAGTTTAGCTTATTTCACATGTTATTTTGAATTGATCTTAACATGTAAATGATGCCATGTTATTTAATGTTTTTTTTATCTCTCACAAGTACATGTATATTAGAATTACTTTACGTTGTAATATGTTCTGATATTACAATAATAATAGCTACTGAAAGTGTAAAGTTTCCTGATATTTATTGTTCATCGGTTATAAAACCTTCTAATATCTCTGTAGCATTAATTTCAGGATTTATCGTTAGATTATGTTACAGTGATGCGGCAAGTCTTGCTCAAAGGATCCCAGCGTGCCAATCTCAATACGAGCAACAAACTTTTGACGCGTGTCCCACGAAGTGCCAATCACCCTCTACCGATAAAATGTTGTCTGTTTTGTTTAACATTTTCCAAGAACTTTCCTTGTCTGCCAAAGTGCTCGACAAGGCTACTAATTTATATCGTCCCGCGATAAAGAACAATCAGATCGACGTTAACAATAATATCGACGCGACGTGCGTTCAAATTCAAAAAACAGGTCCTTTAAAAAGCCAGCAAGTCGTGAATTGTCCCTTCGAAATGGATACTGCGAGTGAAAAGAACAGAAGCTTGAAAGTGGCACGAACTGGTTGCAGTTCAAAGAAATTCTGTTCGAACGTTTACAACAGACTGCGCCGAGAGAAATTTAAAAAAAAGGGATTTTATCCGAGCTTGAAAAGAAGCACTGAAGTTATGAAGTTAGTGGATAACGCTGATTGCACTTGCAGCAAGAATCTCGATTGCGAGCATCGCTGCTGCGACATAGGATTCGCGAAGTCTACTGGAGAGTGCTGCAATAGCGGCAACGTGCAATCGATGATAATTAAAAATAGTAGTGAAAATGGACCTGCCATCAAGAACGAAATATTTGATTCTATGATTCAGAATAATGGACAGACATGCGTTAACACGTTACACATGGCACGGTAAAGAATATTCTTCACCCTCTTTAAGCGATTCAAAGAGGAACAAATTTCATTGACGCGAAAGCGGAATGATTATTTTTTTTAAGTAAGCTGCAGGATGAGGATAGCAGGGGTCCGTACAGATCAAAGAATAAGAACAGTCGATGTTCAGGGGTGGATCAAAATGAGCTGGACGACGCCAACATGTTGCAGGAATATATTGCTAAGCTGAACAGATGCAGACAAATCCTGGACAAGAATTGTTCTCCCAACGGTGTTGCCGGAATTTCAGTAAGAGAAAATCGTATTTTAGCTCGCTGAACTTCCATTTGAGAAGTTAAAATGTTGATAATAACAGAGACGTCTAGGTCAAAGAGATAATACAACACGCGAAATTTGTGGATCCTCTGCGGTGCTGTGACATGCCGAATGCGGAGTCCATGTGTAGCAGGGATTGTCCCGACGAGTGCGTCGATATTGCCAGTTCAGTCTTTGACACGTTTCCGTTGGTAATTCCGGACGGTCAGGGCCTCGTGGAGCTTCATGTATTGTCTTTGCAGCTTTCAACGTCCGTTAGTATCTATCTATAAAATGGGAGGAAGATTGTATCCATTTCAACTACAGCTTTTAGTAGCAAAACCGATATTATTGTAGGGTTATTTTTATTTAAATCCCACGTGTTGCCGTGGTGAAGAATAAAAAAGAAACGATTAGATTCACTAGATAATAATAATAACAAATACTTTATTCTATTATAACTCGCTGACTCGCTAAATGTTACTCGCTAAAAAGATCACGCTCCACAATGTCTCTCTATCCGCTGTCACGCACAAAATGTTCTTCTCCGCGGTCTCGCACAAACTGTTCCTCGCGCACCCCTTCCCACTCGCTTTTAACACACACCCCCATTCGCTCTGTCTTTCTCACCCTTGCACTCTTCTCACTCGCATCTTTCGCTCATAGTCAAAATTCACGCAATCATGTACACGCTTTTCTCGCGGTCCAATCGCTCAGTTCCAGACACTTTTCCTCGCATTCTTTCAGCCACTCAAGATTTTCTAAACGCAGTCACACTATTTTCCAAACATCCCGGCGCCGGTCCGTCGCAATACGACCTGGTCGCCCCTACGCACGCACAACGAACCATTCATCTTACATTATTATATATTTTTGTAATAAAATACGTCTAGGCGAAGCAAGTGTTATTCCGGGAGAACGACATGAACAACGTTCGTCTGTTCATAAGCTGGAACATGTGGGACCAAGAGACAGCCTTCACGCCGACTCTCAAGTGTCCCAACTTAAACTTCAATTCCTCCATCGTCTACCGCATCTCGAACTTATTCTATTTCTTCAATTACCTCTTGTCGGAGGTCATCACGTTCCAAGTGAACGTTCACCGCGACGATAGCGACAGCTACTTGGTAGCCACCGGGAAGCTCTTCATCAAGGATATACTGGACTATCCTCAGAACAAGCTACACTACATCGCACCGATGAATAGCGTGATTCCCTGTTCACTGGGCGTGAACTTCGGCCAATTGTCTTTCTGGGTCAGGCTGAGCTGCGACGTCGAGCAGGTGGAAGCGTTCAAGAAGAAACTTAATCTACCGATGCAGCCTGAGTCAAGAACAGAGGCACTTGCTAGACGAAGCACTGCACCCGACTCCGTGTTGTCGGTACAGCAGCCCGGGGCATTCGCGGAGAAAAGTTTCATATCGTTGAGGGACGAGTTCCCGTACAACGACACTAAGGACGTATACATATCGCATACATCCCCTATAAGCGCATCAAGTAAAAGACGATAACATTCGCAGGAGCTGCTTCTGAAGTTTGCCCCAGTTTAGCCCTAAATTATAACGGAATTCAGGATGGAAAACATTATTTTCATGTCATTTAAAGTTTATATTAAATAAATAGAGATGTGTATATAAATGTTGAAGAAATTTTCATTGAAATCCAAGGGGCAATGTCCGAAGCCGCTCTTGTCGGTGAAGCTTTTAAAACTCGTGCCGATTCAATAGAAATGAAAATTCTTTAAAGACCAGTCCTATTCCGACGCAGTCGAGAAAGTCGTATCTCATCCTACCGTGGACGAAACTCAGCTGACTGTGATGAAGGAAAGCGCATCTAGGTTTCAACTATATGTCTCTCCCCTCGACGTAACGGAAGAAAAAGACACGATCACGATCGATAATACGAAAGAGAAATCAGATTTCGCTGATGAACTCGGTGGCGGGTAGTCGATGTGTGATCTTGTGTAATATTTTCGATGTTTCCCTGTTTATCATTGAGATACGCATTCCTATTTAGCGGTCCGACTTCGGATCAGGAGGCCAACAAGAAGACAGCGAGCAAAGTTCCCAATGAGTCATCAAGTGTGAGAGAGTTTAATGCTGTCTTGAAGAATGGTTCGAGCAAGCAGGATAGCCCTAGTAAAGACGATTCGGATGACTCTTTGAAGGAGCTGAACGACGTTTTATTGGAAAAGAATTGGCAGCAATACCGCAAACGAAGTTTTGTCACGTATAGCCAGCTTAGTAATTTCAGCTTCGCGATTCACATGCATTGCCACTCGAATGCGTGGAATCGTTTATCATTACCGATTTTAATTGGTTATGGCAATTTTGATTGACTAAAATTCAGGATAACAGAATATTTAATGCAGTTCAATGTGGCGTTTCTTGCTTGAAATATGCTGAAACTTTTTACGCGAATTGAGTCACAGTCACTAATTCATAATATTGAGAAACAGATAGAAATAGTATGAGTTTTATTCTACCAATAATTATGTTCAAATGCTTTAATGCAAAAAGCATACGTTCATAAAATTTGCACTGCAGTTACGAGCGATCCTACTCTTTCAAGTGATTTCATAATTTTTACAATCGCGTGTAACAAGTAATTGAAAATGAAATTATAGAGCAAAATGGAACATCGGAGAGCCAAGACAATAAGGACGGCGAGGACCTGAAGAGTAACGTATGACTCTCAGTTTATCCAAGACATTTTAATCCTCATCGATCTGACTTTGCTCGTTCTTGCAGTCGCTAGAGGAAAACACGATAGTCATTGAAGTTGTAAATATCATTCTATTCCCAAAATGTTCTGTAATGAAGAACCCCGATATACAGCTTCTTTACGTCGAGTATTGTTTCCTTGGGTATTGTGGAGCCGACATGGAGACCATTTCCGTTAGAAAACCGAAATCGCCTGATCAAAAGTTGACGTATAATTTTCGAAAAAGTAAGAAAAGACCATTAATATTCTTCCTACAAATGAAGAGAGAAACAAGAATTCTCGATTACAGAGTTTCGCGTGGACATGGAAAGGCACACGGCGCAGGACAACATTTTAAGGTCCATGCTGAACGAGACCGTCAACCCGAATATCAAATTCATTGTTGTCTGCGAGCCCATTCCAGAAGAAACCGAGTCGAAGGAGTGCATAGAAATCGGGTAAGAGAAAATGGAGTCTAAAATGCAGCAATCATTAAATTAATAATCGATGATTCCGAGACAACCGAAATTCTAAATCAATCCTAGATACGCCCACTTCAACATTAAAAAATACGCGTTAGGGGATGGCGAAAAGGTCACGTCCATTCCGATTTACACTCCGGACGAATCGGAACAAATTGGTTTATTAAAGGTAGAGGAAAATTCTTAATTAACATTATAAACCACAATTTAACTTAATTCATGTAGATCTCGGTGTTGGGTTTCGACGCTATACGCCAACGTTTGGTAAAACCTGAAGCCAGTGATTAATCGATTGTTCAAAGCGTCCGTGTACCTGTGCGTGTGAGAAAAACTAAAAATTTGTGCAGTATCCAATGAACAGTTTCTTCTCTTTCAAATGTAAAGTCCCTCAATTAAAAGGGGTCCGTAAAGAGAAGTTGAAGTTTATTAGCAATTACCTACATCATAGTACAAAATAGTCTATAGTGTATCTGTGTGCGCATTAGTATAAACTGGTACGTTAGTTGTATTTGCCTCGTAGTCTGTATTTGTCTATCGGTACTTCCACCTTTCAAGCTACAGCCGAGTGATACAGTGTACATTTTCAAAATATTCCTCCGCGTCATACGGATTCCGCTGATGAGGGTACCTAGCTTCGTTTCTTCTTGTGCTCTGCCGTCCCGTTTTTCGATATAGTTGTATTCTGCGTCTCCTTCAAGCTGGACAGCTCCGTCTTCCGGAATATGTCGTTGAAGACGCTAGTAGCTACTTGAAAATCCCTGCAGTCTTTCGGGGACCGAGCGACCGACCAGACACCCGCTATCGTGTCGATACCTTGGCACACTCTGCATGCACCTAAATATTGTTTCTTAAATCAATCCGTTGTTCGTTGTAAAATTATACAGCCTGGCCGTTTGTTATTGGCACCCCATTAACGTCAAATCGAATACGTTAAGCTAAGAGCTAATATTTTAAGTTGGATCATGATCAATTGGCTCGATCGCTGCCAGACTTTCTCTACTTTTAATCTACTAAAACTGTAACAAATGATATAAATTTACTAAGCTATTTGGCAAATAAAAAAAGGTATCAATCTTGAACAAGATTTGATAGTCGATAGTTTTTCTTGATAGACTCTAAGAATCACGCAACGCGAAAGTTCTCGTTAGAACTAGATAAAAGTTGAATTTGCTTAAGAATGACGTACCGACGAAGACAGCCATTGAGTTGGTGGTGTTATCGGTCGCGATCAGAGTGAAGGGTGAGCCACGGTTGAACGGGGCGTGACCGGAAACGTTCCAAGTCCCATTGAGCAAGGTCTCGTGGTAGCGCGGGGTCGCGAGCGCCGAGAGCGTCACGATTATACTGTGATTCACGACCTTCATATCCAGCTTCACGCCCGCCTGAGCCGTTGACCAGGACCCTGACAAACGGCAAGGTAAGCCTAAAAATATCGCTTGTTTCACATACCGGGGGCAGCCGAGACGCAGTCCGCGATGCGTCTCAAAAACCTTCGTCGCGCGTTATTATTTATAAACGCAGGATTGATGCAACGTTACTTACCTTCCTTCTTGCTGCTCTTCGAGCTGTCCAGCTTCAATTCCGCCAGCTCCTCCATTATCGTGTCCAGTAACTGACTGGCGATCACTTTGGTGTTCTGCATCGAGTCGGACATGTTCCCATTCTTCTCGCCTTCTAGCAACGAGAACAAGTTACCATTTTGTAATCCCGTCCTGAACAACTGTCTTCGACGGTGGTCCCCTCGTAATTTAATGTTATCGTCTTTACCGTTCGACGCTTGCCTAGTATCTTCCACAGTATTCACTTTATCGCAACTAGAACTCGCTAGGGCGTGATCCGTTGGCCGATCGTGCGGTTCGTAATAGGACAACGATGGATCGTTCGCATTGTCCGCAACATTGTTCAGGTAAGGAGGGCTAACGTTATCTTCTCCGTTTGAATTAGGCGAGTCTATGTGCACGCTGATCCCTAAGGACTCCAGGACCTTTCCCAGCGGTTGGTCCATGGCGTTTGGAATATTCACAGCGGGTAGATTACTGCTCTCCATCACGGGAATACTTTGCGAACCCTGATTCTGGTAATTCAGATCACCCATATTCGAGATCAGCTGAGGCTGGCCGTAAACGCTCTGATCGATATTGCTAAAATGTTGCAGACCGTTCCCAAAGTGCCGATAATTGTATAAATTTTGCAAGTCGAGTGCGGTGAGTTTATGGGACGCTCTAGGAACCTCCACAACAGAATTCTCGCTTTGAAGAATAGTTTGAGGTTCGACCGTGTCCAGAGATTTGTCGTACTGACTGGAGTAATGAAATGGATCGAGATTCTGTGAAACCACGGGTTGTTGGATGTCTTGGCTTATCGGAGTCGCGTCGAATACGCCGAAATTGTCCCGAGGCTCGGGGGCGATATAATCTTGTTCAATTAGTTGCGGAGATTCCTCTGTGCTAACAACGTACACCGAGCTTTCGATTCGGTCGTCAGGCAGTCTGTAACTAGGTTCTTGATAAAGCAAAGTATCATCCGATCCAAGGAGTCGGGGTGCCCGTTTCAATCCTGCGCGACGTCTGATTGATGGATATCGCTGAAAATCATTGAGAGAATCGGCGGAGTAGTCGGTGTGTCTGAAATCATTGCTTCGCGTGTCGTAATCGTGATAATAAGGCTGGCCAATGTCGATCCGATCGTCAGAGCGATAGACTGTAGAATTTCGAGCCTGTCGAACAAATCTGTCATTCGGATTTGTCAATTCCGCTACGTTTATTGGGATCTTGTTCGCCACAATATCTTGGAGCACGTCGTCCTCGCTGTAGTAATCTGAATATTCGCTTCCTTGATCATCAGTGTTGTTCTCCAATGGATCTTTCGTCGTAGTCTTCATCAGACTCTCGATCATAGCACTTCTAGACTTCACGGACCCCACGTGTTTACGTGTAACCGATGAAATCGTGGAAAAGTCAACATAATCTTCGTCGTCTACCTTAAGGCCGGTAATTTTGTCGGTGGACTTTGAAACTGAAGGTTTATTCTTCTCGCGATGCTTACTAACGGTTGATCGATCATATTCGATCTTCGAATTTTCGTTTCCTCGGTTATTCAACGTTCTCTAATCAAAGGAACATTCTTCAAGCGTTTATCTGATGCTCGGTGGATTTCGTCCCTTTATGTCCTGAATCATTATTCCTAGTTTCTATTATTACTTTCATATGGAATATGATTATTGATAGTTAATTTACAGTTGTACGCAGATTAATTCATATTATACTTTGAGTTTGAAGGAAAGCATCTTCAGGAAATAAAGGGTCAACGCGCGACATTAGAGCGCGAGATACGAGAAACACGCAGAACGAAGCTTACCTACCTTTGCGGACACCCTTCTCGGCCACTCAGCGCGTTCTTTTCTGTGCCGTCGATGATGCCTACGATAGAAACACACTTTTTAATTTTTAACATTCACATGTTACCTATTGAAAATTGTATCAAGCGATTCTCAATGCACCGTTTTCGTTTCTTCTTTTTTCTTCCCTTGATTCTCGCGCGGCGGCCATTTTTCCTCGTTTCGCCATTCAACCTTGAATGACTCCGCGGTGGCGCTGGTACCTTCACGGACACGAAAAGCTTCTTTTTTTTGGGATCCCCGCCGCGCGAGAGCTTCTTCATCGTTTCTTGCATTTTCGGGGACTTCAGCGCATCCTTAGCCATCTTCCTTGCCAAGTTTTCATTGCCGGATCGGGAAATTCTGCCTTCCAACGCGTGCATTCCGTGCGATTTTAAGTTGAGTTCACTCGAGATCCTGTTCCTGCTCGCCTGTCTTTTCCGTACGATCGAATCTTCATCCTCCTTTGCAAGAGGACCGCTCTGTCTAACTCTGGTTAAGGATTTGCTACCCTCGGGCGAAACGAACGATAATTTGTCACTGTTGGTTACGATGCTAACTGCGCTGACTAGTAGCGGAACGATCATGGTCAATCTATCCAATTAATGAAGCCACTGAATTTCGTATTTTTAATGTTATATTGATAACAGTTATTAATCATGTGTACCTAAGTAAACTTAGCAACATTCCTCTACAAGGTGAATCGATCGGAAAATCGTCGCTGGTGCCATTGAATCCATGCACACCGATGAATAATCGCTACTTGTAGCTCACTTGTCACCGTGCACGTTCATTTCGTTCGTTGTTTCTAGCTTTACGAGATCGTTGCGTTGATTAACTTCGATTAAAACGTTTCCAAGCTTAATAACGCCTCCCACACGGTGGACATATCCTCGATAGAAGTTCGCGGAAAGCGCTCACGTGACGTTCGATGCTCATTTCTCAGCGACCAACTTTTGTCAATCGAATCCCATTAACCGGGATTCACATGTCGGTCAGTTTGCACGCGCCCTTAATTATTTTTGTATCATTACAAATTTAATCTTACTTTAAATGTAGTACAATATAAAGTATCAGATTAATAGAAATTTCGTTTTTACTTTAACTTTAGATCACTAATCTGTTGTCAATACATCTATCGCATCTTTTATACCTATTCATAAATTTTAGTTTCATCAATATTTGATTTTTGTTTGAAATTAACCCTTTGCGGACGAAGATTCTCTAAAGTATACAAAACCTTTTGTAGATTCTACTAAATCACACATCGAATGCCTAAATAATATAGAATAAGGAAATTATGTACTGATTTCTTACTGTTTGAGTATTTTAATCATTTGTTTGCAACTGAATATTACAAACATGAAAGTTAAATCTCGGCAAAGTGTCGACATTTGTCCGCAAAGGGTTTATGAGTTTGAAATTTAACATTCAATTGGCGATCACCTTTAATGAGGGATGAAGTATGTAAAGAACGTTGAAATGCAGTTTGGAAGGAAATACCCGGATACCCGGTTATTGGCACGGAGGTTAAAGCGTGGGTCGTTGTAAAATAGGCCTTTGAGGACCGCGGAATAAAGGGTACGGAGATACTGGTCCATTTGTTTGCTCTCGAAAGCGGCAGCGCGTGTTTAAATCTACGATGAACACGCATCCAGGAACACGCGTGTATATACGTACATGGTCGCACGTACACGCGCGTGTATCTCGCGTAGGGTCGATCCCGGTGCGATCAAAGTGACTTGGACCGGCGCCAAGTACACGCGTCGGCCTCAATTAGTCAGATATTACGTATGAATGTCCTACACGCGGCCACTCAGCATTAATAACACGGAAATGAACTTATAGACGTCTGTTGCAGTGGTAACGCATCCTTTTTTAATCCTTCCCGACTTCGTACCTGACTAATACGAGTCGAACAGGGAATTTCAAGCGCAATTAGAGTCCTCGTAGTATCCTACAGACCTCTTTTAACAAAACAATAACGTTGAACTTAATATTCGTCTCCTCGAAAAGTGGATTCATTTTCGTTGCTAATAAAAGCCAGTTTTCGTGAAAACTAACTTTTAAGATGTTAACTGCCACGAGAAACACTAACGTTTTATGTATGACTTATCCTTCCTGTACCAAAGATGAAGAGGAAGAGTTATTCATTGTTTGGTATCACAATTCTTACATTACACTATTATCTAGTAATTTACTTATTTATAAGTACTGATTATTTTCTTGTAATTTGAAAGCTCTGGTCATCGGTGATCTCCATAATAGTGTTAACGGAGCTCGATGGATTGTTTGGAAAAAGTAATCTTCTCTTGACAGAGAATAACAGACAGTTGGACACCGAGGCTAATCTCGTGGCCATTTCCTTCGATAAAATGGCGCGATGATTAGGTTACTTTTCCAGCGGAAATGCGGACTTTCCAGAGTTTTCGAACGTGGTTGAACGAGTAAGGAGAGGCAGGATATTTTCAATGAGATATTTTCAGCGAAAGATAATTGACGAATTCGAATGGTAATTAATTTCCGTTTGGGCTCGATAGGTGGCGAAAAAGGAGCATCAAAGGAGGAATGTATACGTCGGGGTAGCATATTTCGTCGGTCGTAAAAGTACTTAGGCGGTCAGGTTGTACGGTGCGCGTATTAAAATCAAGTCAGAACACAAATAGACTCCCAACGATCCGTCGAAGTACCATCGGCGCCGGACAGAAGCCGGCTGTGGGCAGCAAAAAGGACGAGTCGCCGGCGTAAGCGACTGGCTTGCGCAGCCGGAGAAATTATAACAACGTACATACATATCGGCGTTGGACCGGCAAGAGAAATCCCTGGAGACACGTAGGCATTGATTATTATTAGAACCAGCCAAAGTACAACCGATCTACGTTCGTCTGGGAACGTTATTGCAAGTGCACGCGACGACCAAGATAACTCACGACCCTCGGCTTTCTGGATCACGATTTCTCCATGCGGTTGGACCTTCCCCCGTCGACAACTTATTTCTTCGTTAACGCGTTGAATGCTACAAGGGTCACCGATGACCCCTGATTAAATCGAATTATTGTAAACCAGTCAATTAAACAATGATTATGTGCTAACTCTTTTATATTATTAATAATGCTGCCTAATGCAATGACATTCGGTAAGATAAACGTGCGATAATAATAAAACGATTCAATGAAATGAATTGATATTATATTTTGTTCATTTTGCGTATTTTGTTACAGGCGGTCGTGCCGCATTCAACATGTTAATACAAGACGAGCTTCGCGTAATCGAATTAATAAGGAAACGAAAGTGTTCAAACGGTGGAACGGAAGCTGTTCTAATATTAGAATGTTCTTAATTAATATTCTTTTGTGACTTTGATATTGACTTTTTATTAATAGTCTTTGTATGAAATCATTGTGATTAGAGGTTTTCTAGGATTTCGTGGTAACTTTGAAATAATAACGATGTTCTCTAAAGGTAATTGATATATTTAAATCTTCTTCAATGAGGAAGTACAATGATTATGTACATACATGTAATCCGAGTAATCGTATTCTTAGTCTAAACCGTTAATTCGGTTGCTCAGACGATCTTGTTCAACTGGTTCATCCAACGAAAAGTAGATGGCAATTAATGTTCGTTGATCCTGTTCTAACAAAGATAAATTATCTTTACAGGTATAGTAGAACGAACACTGTACACACTAGCAACGGTAACACTGTGCTGGTCACTGCGCGACAATTCTGTTTACATCAGACGGATACACGAAACGTCCACGATACTGCGATCCTACAGAAAGAGCAACATATAATTGTGAAAGCGATCGTATTTTTAAACGATCTATCTCGCTTAATTGCGTAATCGAGCATTTCCGATTATTTAATTGAACCTTGGCGCGCGTACAGACGTTTCAACGAGTACGAATCGGAGCACAAAGAGATTAGACATTAATTCACTTTTGGGAATGGTAGAAAATCCGTTGTTTATTGCGGATAGAGTGATCGGATCTAATGGACACGATATCGTTGAACGTCGATAATTCAGAATTGTGCAATGGCACTGCGTTAATTAACATTTGGCGCGGTTACAGCAACGGAGGAAGTTGCGGACGAATACCAAAGGTCACGGTGTCTGCATTCCGCGAGGAAAACAAATCTCGCGTTATGGATTTTAGAATCAAAACATTTAATTAAGATCCACTTTACACACTTCATTTAAATTTCCAATGACTCTACATCTAAAATTAGTATTTAATAGTTAAAAAATGGTTATAGTAAATAGTAAACAGTAAAAAGTGGACCTACCAATGAGTAACTTACTCTCTCCGTTTGTAGAAAAGGAATTATTGAAATTTGACGAGAAAAATGACTAAAAAGACTTCAAATTTGAAATTCTGATTCAAACAATTTCAATGCTCGATCTAAAGAAAAATTTGTCACTCCCTCTACTTTACAAGACATTACGAGCCCTTAATTCTGGAATCTATTTTCATCCCCGCAACATAATCCTTAACAAGGAAGGAAAATATTTCCCCTAAAGCATATATCCGATATAATCTAGGTGACTTTTATTGCGATACGAAGACATGATATCCCTAATCTCACAAGCAGCAGAGCCGTCAAAAGGCAAACTCTTCGATGAAACACAGACGACCCAATGAAACTTTCCTACACATTTAACACTAGAACTACTAAATAATCAAATCCACTATCTCCTATAAATAGTTAAATCCACTATCTCCTACTAATCAAATCCTTCTATTTCCATCTAAAAATAGGAAGTCCCATTTAGTCAGATCCTAATTCGCTTATGTTTCAGTTCATTTAGTAATTCCCCACGAAATCCTACAAATCTCCTCAACCTTCATAAGACAAAGGCCTCGGAACGGTTCATTTCGATCTGTCCAGTAATTCTTAAACCACGACAGGTGCGTTGTTCTCGGGGAATCTCCGATAACCGTCAGGAAACAACGGACCCGCTCGGTGCTGTCCGACGAACCGTCGCACCGACGTCGTTCGTGGCGAAAGAAACGAGGGAAGAGAAAGAAGAAGACGACAACGCGGACAGCAATGAAGAAGAAGAAGAAGACGAAGAAGAAGAAGAGGTAGAAGAGAAGCGCGGAGGGTGTCGGGACGCGTTGCCGCTGGCATTGGTAGCAGTCTCGAGATAGCCGCCGGCTGGCTTCCTCGCCGCCTCGGGGGATTTATTCGGGGATTCCGAGCGCAAAGTGGCGAACGATATATCCAGTGGGCCCGATCCCGTCGATCGTGCGCAGCGGCAGTGGTCATCGAACGGCCTGGCAAGGGTGGCACTAGCGAACCGGTCGCGCGACCCCTCGATC